TTTTCAAAACAAACTGCACAGGGGTTCTTCTAACATGATAGGGTATCAAACTTGAAAGTATGAGCGAAATCGATTTTTTGACCGTTGCCGTAAATATTTGATGTCTGGTTTTTACTGACATTGGCTCTTAATGGAAAAACTGGATCTTTGATCAAATCTTGTCAGAAAACATCTGCAGAAACATAAGATAAGAATAATTACAACAGTAAATAATTTCATTATGGTATAAATTAAAATCGTTAAAGGATCTATCCGCAAGAAGCAATAGCTAATCGAGACGGGTAGACAGAACAAGTTATATGGTACTAAATACAATTAATAAATAACAAAGTTACTCTTGAGTAATTTGCGCGAGAAACCTTGATCGTTATGTGTCATTTTGACGAAGACATATTACGGATTTTTGGGCCCAGCAGTGTAAAATTGTTGTTTTTCTTGAAGCGCTTAGCTTCACACAGCAACTTTTGTCACCGGTGAGTAAGCTGAAAGTAAATACCGATGTAGGAGCACTTTAGCACTTATTTAGCCGAGGTCAGCAGCCCCCCACGCTGTTAGCTGTTCTTCTCGCCGACATGATTTTCTCTCTGCCTAAACGCTTTATCTCGTCCCTAGTATGTGCCAGGCTCTCGGCCAGTGTAGACGAGCGAAAAAAAACGAAAAGGTGTGCGAGCGAAAAACGGTGGGAGGGAGAAAGGGAGAACCTGTACGCGTCTCCTTAAATACCTCAATCCGCCCACTACCCCGCCCACCTCGCGTTATCATCTCAAATGTCAAAATATCAAGTGTGGGAGAAGGGATTCGTGCGAGTTCGAATCCGTGTGTGCAAAGCTTTCCAAGGTCTCCCTCTAAGCCTTCTAGGATCTTCTAGGCCATCTTTCGAAGACTGGACAGTTTTGCAGGAAATATGTGACGTGCCTTGCAACGAAGGTTCCTAGAGTTTCTTTGTTTACAGTAAAATTCGTTGGGATTTTTGGTTTTTCTGTGAGTCGGGGTGGGCAAATCACAACACAACTTTGCCGCGAAAAAAAAACTGAGAATAACTCAAGACTGTTCAAACGAAGGAAATCGCGATCGTGAGTGGAATTTTTGTCGAAGGAAGGAGGCAGATTGTTGCAAGTGAGGTAGACATTCGTAAGAAAGATCAGAAAAATCTTCGAAGCAAACTAGTCGATAATTTCCCGAAACAGGATGTTCACAAGTAACGAACCTTTAAATACAGAACTAAAAACACACAAATCACAAACCATGACCATTGAACTAGTTTAAGTGAACATCTGTTGCCTAAGAGGTCCGCTAAGTTGATTGACAAAACAGCCGAAACCCAAACAACCTTCGAAGTTGGCAAAACGCCCAGCGCGATACATCGAATGTACTTTGTACGAAACAACGAGCTAGCCGGTTACACAGACGAGGAATCTCTTGTCTTAGCCGATGTTTTTGGCTGCCTCGGTTTGAGCGCAACTAAACATTTTTGTCTCAGACAAAAGTTTTTAGTCTGGAGAAATAAAACCGGTCACTGTCAGTTGGAGAAAGAGTTTATAATTATAATAGCAGGGAGTTCGAGCTACATGTAATCAAGAATAACTACATGCGAAATGATTTCAATCCATTTAATACAATTCAGCGAAAACATGAAACCAAAAGCCGTGGCTAACCATGTGAATAGTCAAACGTACCATTGTGTCACAGAGTGAACTTCATCTAAAGTCACTGCAGCCGTCTGCAGGCCCAACTCTCCCCTTTCAGTTCCTTCATCCATGCTCTGGGATTTCCTGTTGTCTCGAGTTTAGCAAATCAAACTCCTATGCAGCAGGTAAGAATTTACCGTGCCTGATTGCCCTCTGAAATCTTACCGAAATATGGTAATGCCGTAGAAAGGGAGTAAACAATAGCGAATGGATTACAGAGGGCAACCAGACACGGTAAATCATGTCTCGAGTGCGGCATGGGTATTTAATATTGTGCTAAACTCAAGACAATAGGAAATTCCAGAGCAAAAACTTAGCCAGATCTATGACATCGCTTTAATATTTACTCAATTTTGCGCCTACGTTAGACAACTGAAAACGTTTTCAGTGGCCACGAAATTCGGACATTTTAAAGTGCACTGATCAATTGCAGCACTGAAATTTACAAACAAAAAATCTATCGACGAATCTGGGTTTAATCGCTGTTTTCGTTAAATTGGCCTTAGAAATTATAAAAAGAGCTCAGCATTGCGTTTGACTGATTCGCTTGTTTTCTTGTTTTTTCGTAATCGCGCATGCCTACTTGCGTTTATTAGCCGGTTGTAGAGTGTACAAAGGTCATTTGCAAAACGAATGAGTGATAAAAACTTTTCCGAAGCATCCAAAAAGTAGCAAATTTGCCTGTATTAAGTCCATCCTTCAGTTCATGCATAATTTATAACCTTTTTGTAGAAATTCAAAGATATCTTGAAATTCCCCTAATGGATTTTTGTGAACTTCGCACAACAGAAGACAAGCACCCAAAGTATATGTAGCGTAAAGCATTTCCAAAGAAAATGTCCTTAAGGGTAGCAATTCGATTTAGAGCCAAAACGATTGTGACGTCATTGTCACGTGATGTTTATTCCAATCGCCCAAAAAATATATCATAATAAAGGTTAGTCTATCTGTAATACATGTGTTATAATGTTTTTACAATAAAGATCAATTTTTTTAAGTATAAGAGATTCCGAGATGGGGGATGTACCTACAAAAATACTGGGTCGAGCCACCTTAAATACTTCTAACAACACAAGGAAATAACTGAAAAGTTTTGCTCTATCCGAAACCGGTGCGCAATGATCGCAAAACGTCTTTCGCCCTGGTCAGATTGAGCAGCACAGCTTTTGCTCAAATCTAAGCGCGTCAATATTTAGGAAATCTTGGAGACAATTGTCCAGAATGATTTCAGTAAACCTCGATTCACTGAAACCAGGCGTGTCTGATCTGCTCGCCATGTTTGCCAAGCCAAGTGATTGACGTAAGTGTTAAAGTAAACTGTCAAAATTGACCAATTAGTGGGTATACCATACTCTTGTTCTTGGTTACCGGCGACAAGTGATTTTAGTTTTGCCTTGAGAGACTCTAGTTCCGGTCTCGAAGTTTTTCAGCTGTTTCTTTAAACCATATCTCTCTTCAGCGCTTTTACCTGTGCCATGAACGGTTTCAAACGGTTTCGGAACCAAACGGTGGAAAAATATCATGATCCAACTTGCGCGCGCCCGACCTCCCCGAACGCACGCGCTTCTTCGATTTGCTCAGTGAAAGTGTAGAATACTCCATGCACTGCATAATTTACGCAAAAAGAGAGCAATAAAAACCTCTGTCGTTCAA